AATTATGATTTGAATACTAACGTTGTTAAATATGACAGTTGACAGCCTCAGTGGTCTAGTGGTTTAGCACATCGCTTTACTATCCGATTGTGGGTTCAATTCCTCGCACGGTCCAAACATTTGTTTACATGAGTATGATTTTTTGTATCGGTCTGGGTGTTTTCTATGTATAATATGTATGTATTTAGAAAAAAAAACCATTGTATATGTATCAGTTATCTAGTACCCATAACACAAGCTTTAGCTAGCTTAACTTGGGTCTAGATGGCTCTGTGTGAATTGTCCTGAGATTATTATTATTATTATTATATTATAATAGAAAACATATAATAACGTATTGATTCAATTCTGTTACTAGATCAGGTCATCATCATTACATAGTATAAATCAAAGTCGCTGTCGCTGTCTGTCCCTATATATGCTTAAATCATTAAATCTACGCAACGGATTTTGAAGCGGTTTTTTTAATAGATAGAGTGATTTTAGAGGAAGTATTATATGTATAATACATGTTATGTTTTCGTATTATGTACATCCGTACATAATACATATACACCGTGCGAAGGGCGAGTAGCATTCATTTATAATTAAAAAATATTATATGATATTCCTTTAATTCTGTTACTAGATCAATACTTTATTAATTAAAAAACTATTTTTGATTATATTAATAACTTCATTACCAGTTGGCAATGGTTAGATTTCTATTTTATTCATTCATTCATATCATATTATTTATTCATTCATAATTGAAAAGCGACTCTCTTGTCAATGGTACTCTTACCACATTCTACGATCTTCTATTTCATTCATAATTTAAGAGCGAATCTCTTGTCGATGGAGCTCTTGCCAAGATTTTCCATCTTATTCTTTACATCCCGATACGACTCAAATTCCATCTTTCATTTGCTTGATGTTGCTGTACCTTGGTCTTCCTCTCCCTCTCTTTCCTTCTATCTTTCCCTCAACAATAACTTTCATAAATTCATTGTGCCTCATCGAGTGTCTTAACATTTATTCCTCTATTTTTTTTGGCTATTTTATTAAAGATAAGTTTTTTTTAATTTTAATAAGAAATTTATTTACTCATATTTAATAATAATATAATAATATCTCAGGACAATTCACACAGCGCCATCTAATCCCAAGCTAAGCAGAGCTTGTGTCATGGTTACTAGTCAACTGATATAAAAACATGGATAATTTTTTTTTAAATAAATACATATAATAATAATAATAATAATAATGTCAGGAAAATTCACACAGCGCCATCTAGACCCAAGTTAAGCTAACTGAAGCTTGTGTTATGGGTACTAGATAACTGATACAAATACATAGATATTTTTTTTTGTCGTAAATACATACATATTATACATAGAAAACACCCAGACCGATACAAAAAATCGTACTCATGAATACAAATATTTGTACCGTGCGAGGAATCGAACCCGCGACCATCGGACGTTAAGCGGTGTGCTAGACCGCTAGACCACAAAGGCTGTCAACTGTCATATTTAACAACGTAAGTATTCAATTCATAATTACAAAAATGCTATCCCATTTACTACATCAGCTTTTATATGTATAACACACAAATATAGAAACAGATAAACTGAAAAACACGTGGATTACTATACGAAAGGTAAAGAAGACATTAAAATAACATTAATTACTGCTGTTACCAAGATTATTTAGACGTAAGAGCTCGACTAATAGACCTGCTCTGCGTTGTTTACCCAAGCTGTGCTAATTAATAGCTTACCTGTCTCGCAAACGAGCTGTAGCTTGTTATTGTTTGCTAAGAGAGATGTGGGACGAAAAGCTACGACGTTAATATAACGTTAACTAGTCTGTTTTGACGTCAATACGGTTCAGTTTCCTGTGTGCTTTGAAATGCAAGTTCTACGTACATTCTACATTCTGAAATTAATACGTTTAATATAATATTGTTGCAGTACGCCCGAGTATCGTATACGTGTACATACAGCGATGCAAAGGTATTGTTTTGATCCTAATAATGTACAGTATATTTCTACGGTTTTAAATTTTAATAAGGTTTTCGTACAATATATATATTACGTAAATAAATATATAAAAAAATGGATATTTCGATTGCAACTCGAGTAACTCTGACGTAATGTTTTTTTTTTATTTTTTTTTTATTAAATGGGTTTGCGCTTGGCCTTACCTCATCTGATGGTAAATGATGGCAAGACCTAGGATGTAGCGCTTACCCAGAAGATACTCTATTCACCATAGACTTGAAGAATACGGAGTTTGTCTTTTATATTATATTTGTAATGTTGAAATAACCGTTTTTTATTACATGCATATGAATATAAATACGGTACATACACCAAAATAATATATTTTACAATTTTTGTCTGTATGTTTGTCTGTTTGTTCCGGCTAATCTTTGAAATGGCTGGACCGAATTTGATGGAACTTGTTTTGGTAGGTAGCTACTGTAATAGAAGTAACTTAGACTACTTTTATTTTAGAAAGATAAAGTTAAATTCCACACGGACTAAGTCGCGGGAATAACTAATAGAATATAAAATACCACGACATGATTGACTAAAAATAGAACAAAATTTTATTATCTGTCACTGTGTGATCACATTTTATACCTACCAATTCATTTACAGAATAAAATGACAATGTTATCTAATTGAACAGAGATTAAGTTCGTAACGGTTTCTATGTTGATTGTCGCATGCCTAATCCTTGTTAATGTAAATATAATTAAAACAACAATTATTTAAAAGAGCAACACTTAAGATTCTTGCTCATTCTTCTTGCGATAAGTCTGCATTCCGAATGAGTGCTAGAATAAAAATCTGGACTATTCAAAAGTGTATATATTAAGTTTATTTGAATATAGATTGTTTCGATTTCAATTAAAAGCGTATTGAGATAAAAAGGGAGTAGTAATAGTAGAGATGAAAGCGGTATAAAAATATTAGTAGCCGAAGCAAATACGGCTGCAAGCGCCCGTAGCCGGCTGGCACGCATTTAATCGGATTAACCTCAATTCGTGCATCTATTAGTGAGAGCACCTTTATGGATTATTAAATCTATTTAGCAAAGTACGAAATTGATAGAACAAGTTCTATTTGTCGCAAAACCAATTTGTCGGATTATTCTGATGCTACCAATGGTATTAAACAATGCTAGAACTATAATCTTTATTTTATTAATGTACATTTTCCACAATACTATCTGAGTACTGATTTCAGTAGTAAGGAGCGTTCTTTGTACGATGTATTTTGGTTTAGGGTTAAAAAAGGCATGGGGAGACATGTTTCAAGAAGGGTTATATTAAGGTTTCTTAATGGTCGATAATGCGCACATAACATCCTTGGTGTCGAGGCTACAGTAACCATTTACCATCAGATGGTCGGTACTCTAGTTTGCCACCGTGGTAGTATAAAAAAAATGACATTTTAGTCCGGAATGACATTTTTTTTCGGACTACTCTAATGCTCTAAGGCCGCAGCTGGCCTTACAGCTTCACCGGACGTTAGGGGGCGAGTGCAGATGGCACTCCAAACCAAGGAAGGACTTATGGAGCGGCTGAAGGCCAACAACTGCCTGACGGATACGACTTTAGTCTGAGGGCACTAGGGGTTCGAACCTCGGCTCAGGCCGTCGTAATATCGATCCCCGTTTGAATTGGACGGGGGATCGATAGGAATGACAACATATGTGATTATCATAGACTACATCCTAACTAGTTTTCGTAAATAACTGTATTACAGTTATCACGTAACATCAGGTCAGGTTGTTTATCATATTTAAAAAATACAAATAAATTATACACATTTAAGGTTCAGGTCAGGTACTACATTTAAGGTAACTTTACCCTATTAAGGTTTCTTGAAGGTAGACAATGTGCACATCCCATCCCTAGCCTATCTAATGGTAAATTATTACCGTGGCCTATGTACGCCTGAGACACCAGGGATGTCACGTGCACATTGTCGACTCTCAAGAAACCTTACCTATTAAAGTTTCTTGAGGGTCGACAATGTGCACGTGACATCCCTAGCCCATCTAATGGTAAATTGTTACCGTGGCCTATGTACGCCTGAGACACCAGGGATACAGTTATCACTTATTACTTGATGAATATATATATATATATTATTTTGTTTAATTCCGCTGCAATTAGCATGTGTGAGACTACAAATGGCTGTAGACACAATAATGGTCAGAATTTGATCGTAACGGTAGTCAAGTTTCCACACCGACTATTTGTGCTCTCACACATGCTGATTGTAGCGGAATTAAACAAAATAATAAAAATCCATCGAGTCGTGAAATGAACTGCCGCAAAATAACACCTAATTCGATTAAATATGTTATCAGTTATCTGAAAATATAATAATAATAATAAGTTTATTATGCAAAAAAAAAAAACAGTTACAAAAATGGACTTAGCTAAGGTTCTATATCTACTATATATACAGATAACTTCACTTTTTATACTAATTTAAATTTTTATGTAGACAAATCGATTGTATATTAAAAAGTATATATAAAAAAAAAAGAAGAATATAGTTATATAGTTACAAGAGGTAGACTGTAAAATTAGTCTGCTTCGATGCATTAGTTACATCAAATGCAGCCGTGAAACAGTTTGCTCTGTACGTTATGTTTTGACTTAGCTTACGAACCCTAGTGAAATTATACGATGTTTTTTAGAATGGTAACATATTAGTGTGTTTATTACACGGCACTCTGATCAACCAGCAGCGTGACAGACTTGTGCATAGTACGGCGGCAAAGTTACACCTTATTTTATAATCTTGTAAACAGCAATTAAACTATTGAGTTGCTGAAGCTCCAACAAGTGGTACAAAAACATTTTTGTTTGTTTTTTTTTACTGTGAGAATAATTATATATATTATATTATATATATTCACATACATAGACGACGTTTACCATCTGTTTGTTTGTCATACCAATGATATAAAAAAACAAAGTAAGAACTTACCCCACTCCATCCGTATGGCAAGAAACCGCTGTGCTCCGTCCAGTTAGAGAAATCAGCGTAAAATAATCCAGCAGTCATGATGAATACCCATACGCTAAGGTTGATGGCGTTCAGCACATTATTGAAGAATAAGGACTTCTTCACACCAGCAACTAAGACCATCGTCATGAGAAGACTTATACCGCAAGCGACGAAGTCTGGTGGTTTACCTGCAAAGAAATATATTCAGTTCAATACAAAATATCTTTATTCGTGTAGGTCTATTACAGACTCTTATGATATGTATACATCAGTGGTTTGCTGCTTGTATGCTGCAAACAATACACTGAGGTGCTGCCTTTTTACGTATGGGCTATGCACACACACTACGTTACTCATACCGTTTTTTGTTATCTGTATTGCATTTTGTTTTATCTGTATATTTGTTGTGTATTATATTTTATTTGACTTCACTAATAGAATAGAATAAGAATAGAAAATCATTTATTCAAATAAACTTAATTTAAGCACTTTTGAATAGTCATAACAATTTGTTTTTTATCTACCACTCGTTCGGAAAGCTGTCTCATCACAAGAAGAACGAGTAAGAAACTTGTGTGTTGCTCTTTTAAATAATCCTTGTAAGTTTACATTTACAAGTCGAAACGTGTGAATACAAACTACCAACAAGCACTAATTTTTTGGGTCAAATATAATCATGCAATAAAATTAAATCAGTCGTAGTGATAAGAGCAGACCAGTCCCTACAAGCAGCACTACGCGCAGCGTTCACGAGTATGACGGATGAGCCAGCCATTACTGCGCTCAACCATATTTTAGGGAGCCCATTGACCCGACCCACCACGCCGCCACATGTCTGGTAATGTAATGTGTATATCTGTTTTTATTTTTGTTCTTATTATTACAGTGCCTTGTGTGTGTATGTGCCTTTAATGTGAATAAAATTTTTATCTATCTATCTTTCTATCTATATGTCAAATCTACCATCAGTTCGGAATGCATTCGAGATGAGAGGAACGGAACTGACAAGAAACTCAGCTTGTATTCTTTTCAAATAAATGTTGTACATGTTTACAATAATACAGATTCATTTAAATTCAAATTTGGGAGAGTAGAGTGACCACCAGCGTGTGATATTGCAGAAAATATAATCAGTGATCGTAACCTGAACATATAAATAATTGAACCGAAGCACACGGGAGTTATAGAAATGACGGATGGCGAGATAAATCTTCATAATATCTGACAATGAAATATATAATTTATATTCTCAAATATCGTAATGAATACACTAATAAAATATGAGAAAAATTTATATTTTTATATCCATTAACCGTGAATAAGGAATGGTACATTTATGTTTATTGTTTTCGTATATCATATCCAGAGAAGACAAAATAATCTATTAAGATTAGTAATAATATAATAATAATCTCAGGGCAATTCACACAGCGCCATCTTGACCCAAGTGAAGCTAGCTACAGCTTTTGTTATGGGTACTAGATAACTGATACATACATATACATTGATATTTTTTTTGTACTACATTTATATTATATAAAGGAAACAACCAGACCGATACAAACAATCATCCTCATGAATAGAAGTGTTTGTGCCGTGCGAGGAATCGAACCCGCGTCCATCGGTCGTAAAGCGGTGTGCTAAACCGCTAGACCACCGAGGTCGTCAATAATACGCACATGAATTAAGTTTATGCTTAAAAAATTAAAAAAGAAATATCCCAGGACAAATCACACCTCGTTTTTAGTGCCCATATAAGTAGAGCTTATGTGTAGGTACTAGACGACTGATATAAATAATATATTTGAAAATGCATCATAATAGATATTTAAAAGACCCAGACTGATAAAAAAAATCATATTCAGAAATAACAATGTTTGCGAGATTCGAACACGAGCGACTATCGATAGTAATTATTATTTTTTTTTCTTTTTATTTTGTTTTGGGATTTTTGTGCACATAATGTGACGATGACAATCCCATCGTACCTATACTAAATAACAAAAATAAACTAAAAAACTTAATCTAATTAGTAAAATACTATGCAATAAAATGGTCGCTATACCAGTAAGGTTGTCAAAATAAAAGGAAACTAACTTTAATATTTACATTATTAAAGATACCATAATAATAATATTTATTGCAGAAAATCTTCTCAATACATTTATGAAAATATCATCTATACCAGGAAAAATATAGACAGTTTCAAAAGAGTTAGTGATTGCACTAATAACAATAACAAACTGATTTTACCTAAATGTCGTTTGGCTAAAGTTAGTAATTCGTTTTATGGAAATTGCGTAAGGTTTTACAATAAAATACCAGAGTCTGTTATAAATCTGCCAGAAAAAAGATTTAAATGTCAAATAAAACAGTTCCTTTGCAAAAAAGCTTACTATAAAATTGATGAATTCCTTAACGATAATAATGTTTTTATAGAAAAACTTTAAATCCATAGCACTGACAATATTATCTAATTACACTAATAATGAGTGCGATTTTATATAAAAAAAACATCTATTAAAAAGAGCAACACACAAGTTTCTTGCCCGTTCTTCTTGTGATGAATCTGCATTCCGAATGAGTGGTAGAATCAAAATATGACTATTCAAAAGTGCTTGTAATGAGTTTATTTGAATAAAGATTATTTCTATTTCTATTTCTAATTGTAAAAAAAAAGTACTAAAATTTAAAGATAAATATATATATAATTTATAATGTACATATATAAAACAGCATTGAATATAATTCTTGAATTCGACTGAAAATGCTAATACCACAGATAACATAATATTACATACTAATACTAATCTGCTAATGAATGTACACTAATATTATAATGAGACTTTGTTATTTTCTCTACTGTTTAAATACAGGAAATTACATATTAATTTGCAGGTTTACCTATCTCGAAAGCCAGAGCTAAATGTTTTAAATTGCACTGTATATTTGAATAGAAGATTAATATAATTTGATTAATAAACTACGTGTACCCGCGGTTTCAACCGCGAAAATTTATATTCTATATGTTATTCTGATGGTCTATATTACTGTAAAGTGTTACTGTGAATTAAAATCGGTTCAGTAGTTTTTGCGTGAAAGAGTAACAAACATCCATCCATACTCACAAAGTTTTGCGTTTACAATATTACTATCCACTCACCTCGGCGTCGTACAAGTGTACATGAATTATATATATAAACCTTCCTCTTGAATCACTCTATCTATTAAAAAAATCGCATTAAAATCCGTTGCGTAGTTTTAAAGATTTAAGCATACATATGAACAGACAGCGTGAGTGGCTTTGTTTTATACTATGTATTAATAATGATGATAGGTACTGCTTACTAATAACAACACAAGCCTTTATAAATTATTTGTATATATAAATAAAATTGGAGTGCCCGTTTGTAATATTGAAATAACATTTTTTACACTTTTTGTCTGTATAATGATTAAGATAAAATATATAAACAATATTATAGTATATACATTTGAAATAAATTAATTTAATTCGTAAATATATAATATAAAATCAGCTAACCTTATATCCGAGCTATATCCAGTTAGTGGCAACGAGCTAGAAGTCTGAACAATTACAAGACATTCTAGAGGTATATGGAGGTGGCGTTGATAGAGAATGTGTTAAATTTTTACGGAAACTCCAAAGCTAGTGGTTTTCTTATCATAAATTAAACACGAAAGTATGTAGCACTATATTTCCACTGAGGGAACAAAAGCACTCATTAGAGGTACAAATTATACGTCACTAGCTTTTGCCCGCGGCTTTGCTTGCGTTAATTTATCCCCTTAGGGGTGGAATATATCAAAATCCTTTCTTTGGAGATGCCTATGTTATAGTAGCTTTATAAACGCAAAGTCTCAGCTCGATCGGTTTAAAATTGACTCACTTTCATTCCCTATTTCTTAGCGGATGCCTACGTCATAACATCTACCTGTATGCCAAATTTTAGCCCAGTGGTTTGGGCTGAGCGTTGATAGATCACTACGTCAGTCACCTTTGAGTTATATATATTTAGATAAATACGTCATATATATATATATATACATGTGTATATATTTATTCATGTATATTCTATGAGAAAGAAAGACAAATATTTTATTCAGTGCAATGTAAAAAATACAATATAAACAACAAAAGAAAAAACAAAAGAGCAAATAAAATGTACATATAATTAAATTTAATTTACCATGTCGATAATTAAAAATAAACCTAAAATAATCATTTTTTACATCCAAAAATGCACTGAAATGGCTCTACTCAGCTTTAATGTATGTCCTAGGTGAACATACAGCTGGTTTTCAGTGGCACCAAAAATATATATATAAAAGGGAGAGAGAGCGAGGGCACTATTTAAAATATTAATGATAATAATTAACACAGAATTACAACTAATAAATACAAACCAATTACATATACTATAAAGAACAAAATAGAATAAAATAACATTAATAAACAAACATTAAACATATATATATATATAACTACTTTGCCGCAAGATTTATAGGTTACATAGTTATAATATCTTTATAGATATTATAACTTGTTATAATATTATTTGCACCGTCAACAACTTATCTCTGCACAACTCATGGTTGCCTGGTAGAAAATACCATTAGGTGTTAAGTCCGCCATATGTACTCTTTACTTATGTATGACGTGTATTAAAGTTATTTAAATAAATAAATAAAGTGAAAGAGCTGGAGATGGAGTATATATGTAGAACCGATAGTGATTTGACTATAAGGTAGATAATTGATTTATTGCCAACATAACAAGAATAATACAATCTATACATATAAATAAAATGAATGTCTGTTTGTAATATTGAAATAACCGTTCTTTACTACATGCATATGAAATACGGTACACACACCAAAAATTACTTTTTACAATTTATGTCTGTCTGTCTGTCGGTCTGTTTGTTCTGACTAATATCTGAAATGGTTGGACCGATTTTGACAGGACCTTTTTTGGCAGGTAGCTGATGTAATAAGGAGTAACTTAGGCTACTTTTATTTTAGAAAAAATGTTTTCATTTTAGAAAAATAAAGTTAAATTCCACGCGGACGAATTCGTGGGAAAAGTTAGTTTACAATAAGAAATAAATAATAACATAGAAAGTTGGCAATAGGAGCTGCCTCAGCTGTTGCTGATATAAGCATA